AGAAACATCCAGTGATGATCATGAAGCTTGTTACGAGTTGAAATCCCCACAAAGAAAAACTAGGGATGGATCGACACCACTTACTGTTCCGATAGCTTTTCTCTCTGTTCACCTTCTAATCGATCTTCATCAAATCAATCCCAGATCAATAGTGCATAGTTTTTGATTATGGGGCCTTTTTTCTCGACCTTGGCAAATAATGAGCCGATTTTCCTTCGACCAAATGCTGATAAGTGTTCGTATCGTCTTTGAACTTTCAACGGTTCAACGGCGATAACGCTGGAAGCCTCTTGTTCCCCGTCATCATTCACGGTAACGGGCACCTAACCGATGAGGGATGCTCACAAAAAGACATATTTTAAAAATTTCAAAATTAGACAGGCACACTTGATTGATATCACACTCATTTTTACTACTTTTACATCACTTTTTACAATGTTTTATCTTAAGAATGTCAGTTATGATAAGAGCAGGGTTCGATAAAGACGGATTTTCTGCGGGTCATTTGGGCTCTTCACATGTGAGAATGCACAATCACAATCGAATTTCTATTCAATCGTACCTCGAGACGCTGCGGCTTCCTTTTTTACCTCCTCCACAATTACTTTACACTAAATGCGACGAGTAAGATTAGTGAATTGTGCGCTTTTGGAATAAAAAAGGTAGCCAGGAAGGGCGCCCTACGCCTACGTAATATCTCATGTCGTCTGCTCCCTCTTACACCCTGGCGTCACTACGTCTCTGTTCGACAGAGCGCAGACATGCAGATGTCACCTTCGAAATCTGTCCATCCTCTTGAATAGATTTCACCGATTCTTATCTTATTAGATATACGTTATCTCACCGAGACCTAAAATACCGTACCCACTTTCTTTGAAAAAATTCAGCCATGCCCATGTAAAAAAGGGGACGTTTTTTTATAAAACGATCAATATTTTATATTAACTGTAGCAATGAAGCATACCTCTCCCATAGAACAATTCTGCTCCATTATTGATTGCTGTCGATCTGTTTCAGGGTGATAGGTTATGGATGTTCGCCATTGGACTGTTCTTACACCAGCTTGGTGGCNAAGGGCGCCCTACGCCTACGTAATATCTCATGTCGTCTGCTCCCTCTTACACCCTGGCGTCACTACGTCTCTGTTCGACAGAGCGCAGACATGCAGATGTCACCTTCGAAATCTGTCCATCCTCTTGAATAGATTTCACCGATTCTTATCTTATTAGATATACGTTATCTCACCGAGACCTAAAATACCGTACCCACTTTCTTTGAAAAAATTCAGCCATGCCCATGTAAAAAAGGGGACGTTTTTTTATAAAACGATCAATATTTTATATTAACTGTAGCAATGAAGCATACCTCTCCCATAGAACAATTCTGCTCCATCGTTGATTATTGTCGATCTGATTCAGGGTGATAGGTTATGGATGTTCGCCATTGGACTGTTCTTACACCAGCTTGGTGGCATTACGTGGATTGCAATTCACCAACTTGTCGACTCAGTAGCTAAATTGGTACTTACGCCAGTGATTGGTTCAATGCTTGACAAAACAAATAGAAATAGAGGTAAATATTGATCATATTGATTCGAACCTGAGAGGGCAAGTTTCCAAAGACATAATGCCAACATAGTCCTGGCCCATGTTCAACCTCATAATCAATCAGGAAATTTGTACACTGAAAAGCACCCATAGCAAAGCGGTCCAATTCACTTTTTTTGCACGTATGCCAAAATTTTTGATGTTTTGTATTAAAAATGATAAAAAGTTCTTACATATGACTACTTTCAAAGATTTCTCGCGTTCAAGGGATGCAAGCCGTCCTATTTGTGAACAACGTTGCAATATCACTGTCTGCCCTGATATTCTTCTTCAATCTGTCTGAAAAATATGCAGCCGAATCGAATTGGGTGAAAACGGTAAGGAAACTGAAATTATTAATGATAAAATAGTAAAACGTAAGAGGAGGGAAGGAGAGGTTGGCGGATGAGGGTGAGAGGAAACGGGATGACGGTGAAGTGGGTAAGTGAAATAACGGAGTAGGTGCGTGGCTTTTGGCGCGAAATGATGATCAATCGATAATATTACTATCGAATAACAGATCAACCACACTTTCCATACCTCGACGACCTATTAACAAGTACAGGCTTGTCTAGAAAGATGCATATATATAGTTGTAATGAAACTAATTCCCTGCAAGCCACTGTGTGTGCCACATGCGCGCTCAAATGCCGCTCTTTCCCTATGAAAGTCGAAGATGTGGCGCGTCCAGCAATAGAATCGATCAAAGCTGACGTCGAGGGTTTGTATCTCATATCTTAGGATGGGACATCCCTACGAGATAATTTCTAATTGCTTTGAGAAACTAGAGCTCTTTCTTTAGAGTTAGGGTTAATGCTTCAGAGTATAATGAGCTAAACTTAGCTGGACATACAGTACATAACTACCCTTTCGAGCTGCATAACTATTGCGATATTCTCAACGGCCTATAAAACAGCAACTTCACTGCGAGATCCAAAAAACTTTATAGTTCTTTTGTGTCGGATGCTGATGCTCCATACTGTTGATGAACGTGTATTTCAGCTGTATCTCCTCTTTGCTATTTTATTTGGCTCCGTCTCTCGGGTAGCTTCAGAAGCTCAGAAAACCGCCTTCACCAAGGACTGGATTGTCGTGATCATTGAGAAAACCAAAGGAGCTCGGTTGTCCAGTGAGTGCTTTGCTACTACTGTAACCATGAAGGGCGAATCGATTGATCTCGAAAATCCTTCATGTATTATACCTTTTCACTATCTCAACTCATTAACAGTTTCACTATATTATCACGTATTTTTCATTTTTCACTGTTTATTTTCTTTTTTCCATAAATTGGTCAATTTTTTTGCGAAAAATATCAACACAACACTATTAGACGGTTTTTTTTTTGTTAGCTTATCATTTCCCTTAGTGCGAGTACTGTTGACTTGTTAACCTAGTTGATAAAAGTACATTGCATTTACAAATTAGGTAATTTTAATGAGTAAATAGTAGAAAGTTCATATTATTTCAACAACATGAAGTTCTCTTGAAGAAAAGTAATATAGGCGAAGATATCCTACCTGGATAAGCCCCGAGTCCTCCCCCACGAATTTTGGTTTTTTTTTGGTGAGCGTTGCTGTGGTGTTTTGACAAATCGCCACCTTTTATTTTTGTATTTGGTAGCAATAATTGCGTGCTGATTTTTCGGTTTCAAATTTCCTAGCAGATTTTCTTTTGTGTAATTAGTTTGTTTGTTATTGTACTTTAGCGTCATAAGGTGCAGTCAGTTCAAATTTATTTTTTGATAATTCTTAGTTTTTCACACCATGCAGATAATTTTGGTGATTTTTTCGCTTCCTTTGACCTTGAACAGATTTTCTCAGAATTTCAGCCCAGAATGCTGCAATGACGGTGATTGATCAGGCGTCCTCGTTCATGACGCCACTCATAGCTGGGCTCATGCTTGACTGTGTGAGTCGACCTGTGTGTTGTCTGCTGATTATCGCTTGGAATATTCTCTCGTGGTCTGTTGAAGCGTCCATGCTACTTTGGATCTATCGACGGATTCCCGAGCTCGCTCAGCGAACGCGTTCCGGTTTGTATTTTGACCGACTTGATGTGATCAACTACGAATTAATTGTTACTTACTGAACTAAGTATTTCAGAAATTACTGCTCTTCAATATATCATTTGCATATTTAGATTCAGTTTCCAAAGAACCATCTATCGATGATACACCTTCACCGGCAGCGGCCTACTCTGCCTACTTCCGCCAGAGTTCATTCCGTGCTGCTTTTGGCCTCGCTCTTCTCTATATGACCGTTCTCGGATTTGACAATGTACTTTTTTCTGAATTCTGTGATTTAATAATGTAAACTTTATTGATCTCTCATAAGATAACAAGTAAATGAGCGAAATAGTGAAGGAATTCTAGTCAGTTTACAGCTTGCCCTGTCGTATGGTGCTTCACAAGGAATGTCTGCTTCCACGCTTGGACTATTCCGTTCTATAGGATCCCTGCTTGGATTACTTGGAGCACTTTCATACACAGCCCTAGAACGAGTACTTGGACTGCTGTGGACAGGTCTCATAGGACTTATGGTAAGCAATTGACAAGAAAATAACCTAAAAGTTTCTTGGTGTACTGAGAACCGGGTGCCGGAACTTCTCCCCAAATTTCACGGCAAGCTGCAGTGGTCACGTGACGGCTACCTTATCCTTGCACTGAGAATTCGAATCTTCCCCTTTATAGCGCGCGAGCGCGCGCGATCGGATGCGGCGGACGCGACGTCGTTTTTGGGGAGAAGATACCGGACCCATGAAAACGTGAACTGGGTTACTGTCCTACATACGCATAAAATCCGAATCGAATTGGCAAAGTGGTTTACTTAAATGGTGATCTAATTAAGGAAAAAGATTTCCCAAATGTTCCGGCCTCTCTCGTTAACTTTTAGCGAACGAGTTGGCACAATCTCTACATATTGTTGGGTGCGCCACATATTCATCTTCTTCCCAGAGTATTTCCACTCGACTCCCTTCCCGTATAGGGGTGGGGGAACACATCCATGTTCAGGTTTTCATTTCCCAGTTAGTTGAACCTGGTACTTATTGGAAATATCTGCATTAGTACAAAGGAATGGTCTGCCCGGGAGGGACTGAAGCCACAAAGCCTTGTCAGACCCCATTTCCACTGTGTCTCCTCAACAACCATACAATTAACTTACAATTCAGTTTAAAAATTCCTACTCTGAATATTATTGCCCTTGATAAAGTTATTCCACTGTTACAGCTTCAAAACGTCTTCATTAATTTGTGCTCCCTTTCCATAGTACTACCGGGAAGCCCATTCAATGCGACAGGATACTTTTCAACGCTGACCACTACGGTTCGTTTACTACTAACTGATATTCATACAACTTCAATCCGCCTTAGTTAGTACCCTCTTGCAGAAATGGGCAGAAGGTGTTCGATCAACGATCTTCGGTGGTTTGAATTCAACTGATCCATCACCACCACTTCCATTTTCCGAGCTCAGCCCCTCCATTATCGTATTCTTTTTCGGAATCACACTCGCTCGTTTCGGTATGTTACTCCTCCACTACCATTTTAGAATGTTTATTCAAAATTGGACCTTATTCAGGGTTATGGATAGCAGATCCTTCGATCACTCAGATCATGCAGGAAACTATTCCCGAACGAGAACGATATTCAGTTTTTGGTGTACAAACAAGTATCTGCGAGTTTTTCTCTGTGATAAAGGATATTATGGTAAGTATGATATAGTAAATCACAAAATGTGGGGGATGATTCATCAAGTGTGCAGTCGCTTCTCATTGGTGGACTGCCGAGTACGGTCGCGCAGTTCGGTAAATCACCAATGAAGAATGTACCCGCGTTCGATGAATCCCCCTGCTCACCTGCAGTGTATCTAATTTCACACTAATTTTACGTTCAGTTTTTAGTTTTATTTCAGGTTATCTTCTTCCCTGAAACCAGCAGTTTCGGTGTTCTTATTTCGATTTCGTGTATCTTCGTGTTCACAGGATTTTCATTCTACTTATCATACTTTATCAAGGTATCTCAAATTATACTCAATGAAAGAAATCTATCATTTATTCCTGGCGATCCCCTACACTTCCGATGAGTTTATTGCATACCCCGTATACGAAAATTCATTGGAGATCCAGGTTTTGATTAGTCGGAAGACCAACCAAATCACAGAAAGAATGAAATCGCCGATTCTGGTCAGTCTCTCCCCTCTCCCTCTCTAGGATGCGCCATGAAGTCTCCCATTCCTATTCGAACCATTGTTCCTTCGGAAGAAAAGCCTCAAACTAGTTTTTTGTGGGATCGAACTTCAGACTATGATTACACGGCGTTACTTCATACGACCCTAACAATTAATCAAAACAGTAAAGTTGGTTTCTCAAATGATCAACTTCAGGTTACATGTAATCGATCACGATGTCGATCTACAAAAGGCGAGCTTAACAATCTGAAGTTATCAGAACAGGAAAATATGATCAATAAGAATCTTCTCGAAAATTCATCATCTACTCCCGAAGTTTGATTAAGTGTACTACAGCCTTAGGATTACGATCTACAGGAGATTTTTTAAAATAGAATCCAGGGTAAATAATGTTGATTATGTAGCGATTTTACATGTATACATATTATACTCATTGCATTTCATGCTGGTATTTCCGCTCAGATGGCAATCATTTTACTTACAAAGTCATTTACAAGTAATACGCTAATATCATATTTTGTTGTTTGTTTGTTAGATTTTATAGGATGATTTCGTTTCATTGTTATTTTGACACATTTCGACACATTCGATTATTTTTTTCTATCGATTGCATTCCAATCAGCGCTAGGGTAACTAAATAGTCGATTAACTTCACTAAAGTCGATCATATCAAACTGACCATATGCTGACTCATTCGATTGATAAAGGAATATTCTTTCATTATAAAATTTTGATAGAGGAGCAATGAAAAAGCACAAAGTACGAGCACGAGTTGGTTTCATTCCTACACTAGGAGTACCTCACGTCAGGTAGTATCAGTGGGAAAGGCTAGAACAGTATACTACCCAAGCCAAGTACACCCTAAGTACCGATTACACCTAGTACAGTACTACAGTGCAAGTTCATCAAATAATTCTTCAATCAAAAACAACTGTATTTAGTAATCAGAACAGAGTAAGCTCTAAAAGTAGTGCGACTTTGACACCTAGTCATTGGTCACGATAAACATTCAATGACGATAAGATTTTGAGCATGGGTCAGGAA